ACATCAGTGGGACAATCTCTACACTGATAGGTAGCAGTACTACCCACTGCAGTGGAGCTCATGTTGACTATGACTGTGTCCGTAGAATTTAGCCTTTCACATGAAACTGAAAATAGAAAAGAGCAGCATCTATTTTTTAAACCTGTTCTAAGCGAATATACCTGTCTCCTTACTACAGTCCAGAGTAGAGAGAGGGTGAGGGTCCCATACTCCACTACTGGTACACTGAGTAGTGTACACATCAGTGGGACCATCTCTACACTGATAGGTAGCAGTACTGCCCACTGCAGTGGAGCTCATGTTGACTATCATGGTATCCGTAGAATTAAGTGTTGGACAGTCAACTATAAAGTACCAAAATTTTAAAATATAACTAACAGCAACACTTTCAGCAACCTTACTTGAAAGTATGGTGATATCGACAGTGGTGTTCATAGTAGCGGTGGAGCGAGGGAGAGTAGCTACACAGGTGTATATCCCAGTCATATATCTGGTGGTAGTCACTATATCAAGTTCCCCACTCTCACTGACCATCTTCCCATCAGGAGAGATCCATTGTAAAGTTGGTTGAGGGTCTGAGTTTGACCCATCACACGATAGATGTAGTGCACTTCCTTCAGTCACCGCTGTTTCCCCCATAATGGATGGAGGGTTGAAAACTGGTGGAGATATTTTAGTGATAGTGATACCAACTAAAATCTACCGTAGTTACATACCTTTAAAGAGCAAAACTCCTACTTTTGCCATGAAAAACGCATTGCATAAACGTTTCTCACAGCATTGTATGTTTGTGTCAGAGAATGTACTGAACACACTGCCACTGCCATTCACTACCAGTGTATCTGAATAATTATGCGTATATTTCTTCACCACTCTTCCCAGAGTGCTGCTTGGAGTAAGAACTGTGTCATTCACCCTGAACACCACCTCCATAATGAGACTGAATAATTGTGTGTAGTCACATTCGAAGCATACTGTATCCAGGGAGGCATTCACATAGATGATGGTGTTATTGACACTGGTAAGGTTCACAGTTGTCCCACAATCCTCAGGTCCTGGCTCAGACGAGTAGACTGAAGCAAAACATTGAACCAAGCATAGCTGCATATCTTATGGACTTACCACAACTCCACCAGATCCAGCATATCAACACAAAGTGGTAACGAACCGTAATCAAGAAGGCTCGTGGCACGTGGAGCTTCATAACGGCTTCACCTTTTCCCACTAGCTCCGGCTCCCCATATGAGCGTGAGACATGTGATCGTGATGTTGGGAACCGGAGTAGTGGGGGGCGGTCGGTGCATCCACGCGCGCAGTCAGCGCGCGATCGGTCCAGCGATCGTCAAATTTTTGCGCATGCGCTCTGTGTGTGGCCGACGCAAACGTGTTAGCATACAGATACACCGTTTTCTTGTATGTAATAAGCCAGTTCATTTAGGTTTGTTTGCTTGTCCTGCGTGCCATGATCTCTTTAGGAGTACCATAAGCCACATTGACATCCATCTCCAACCTCTCTTCTCTTGTTTTTTTCTCTGATCCTGTGTTGGAGTTATGACATAGTTCGGATATTGCTAGACAGTTTGCAAATGTCTCACCTTTCTTGTAAGAAGTACTATTTTCACAAGTGCTCCCACTAGCAGACCAGTTTGAACCAAGACAACGAGAGAGAGAATTATTACCCCAATTTGACATGGTTGGAGAGTAGACATTTGTCCTGTGTGAGGCAAGTAAACATGTTTGTAAGAGACAGTTGCAGTTTTATCAGCACAAACAGCAGTAGTTTGTTTTGCAAACTACAACAGGGGAGAAACTAATGTGTACCTGGTCCATTAGTCTCAGTACAGTCCAGAGTAGAGAGGGGATGGGGATCCCATACTCCAGTACTGTTACACTGAGTAGTGTACACATCAGTGGGACCATCTCTACACTGATAGGTAGCAGTACTGCCCTCTGCAGTGGAGCTCATGTTGACTATGATGGCATCTGTTGACTTCAATGTTGGACATTCAACTGAGTATATATAATGTACAAAACTTAGTGAGACAACACTTTCAGCAACCTTACTTGAAACTATGGTGATATCCACAGTGGTGTTCATAGTAGCAGTGGAGCGAGGGAGAGAAGCTACACAGGTGTATATCCCAGTCATATTCCTGGTGGTAGTCACTATATCAAGTTCCCCACTCTCACTGACTATCTTCCCATCAGGAGAGATCCATTGTAAAGTTGGTTGAGGGTCTGAGTTTGACCCATCACACAATAGATGTAGTGCACTTCCCTCAGTAACCTCTGTTATCCCCATAATTAGTGGAGGGTTGAAAACTGTTGGAGGTATACTTTATTGATAGTGAAATCAACTATAATCTCCCGAAGTTACGTACCTTTAAAGAGCAAAACTCCCACCTTTACCATGAAATATTTATCATGGCATAACGATCCTCTATATTCGCTAAAGCCATTTACCTCACAGCATTTTATGGTTGTGTTCGAGAATGTATTGATACTGTCATTCACTACCAGTGTATCTGAAGAATCATGTGGATAATTCTTCACAACTCTTCCCAGGGTGCTGTTGGAAGTAACAATTGTGTCATTCACCCTGAACACCACCTCATTAGTGAGAAAGGAAATTGGTGTGTAGTCACATTCGAAGCATACTGTATCCAGGGAGGCATCCACATAGATGATGGTGTTATTGACACTGGTAAGGTTGACAGTTGTCCCACAATCCTCAGGTCCTGGCTCAGACGAGTAGACTGAAGCAAAACATTGAATCAAGCATAGCTACATATTTTATGGACTTACCACAGCTCCACCAGATCCAGCATATCAACACAAAGTGGTAACGAACCGTAATCAAGAAGGCTCGTGGCACGTGGAGCTTCATAACGGCTTCACCGTTACCCACTAGCTCCCCATATGAGCGTGAGACATGTGATCGTGATGTTTGGAGCTAGCTAGCAGGAGTAGTGGGGGGCGGTCGGTGCATCCACGAGTTTTTCACGCGCAGTTAGCGCGCGATATATCGATCCGTGATCCGTCACATTTTTGCGCATGCGCTCTGTGTGTGGCCGGCCGGCTGACGGCACACTTCGTGTGTTGTTATAGCTACACTGTTTTCTTGTGTGTAATAAGTCAGTTCATTTAGGTTTGTTTGCTTGTCCTGCGTGCCATGATCTCTTTAGGAGTTCCATAAGCTACATTGACATCCATCTCCAACCTCTCTTCTCTTGTCTTCTGCTCTGATCCTGTGTTGGAGTTATGACATAGTTCGGATATTGTTGGACAGTTTGCAAAGTGTTTCACCTTTCTTTGTAAGAAGTACTATTTTCACAAGTGCTCCCACTAGTAGACCAGTTTGAACCAAGACAATGAGAGAGAGAATTATTACTCCAACTTGACATGGTTGAAGAGTAGACGTTTGTCCTGTGTGAGGCACGTAAACATGTTTGTAAGAGACAGTTGCGGTTTTATCAGCACAAACAGCAGTAGTTTGTTTTGCAAACTACAACAGGCTACCTGGCACATTAGACTCAGTACAGTTCAGTGTATAAGGATGAGGGTCCCACACTCCAGTACTGGTACACTGAGTAGTGTACACATCAGTGGGACCATCTCTACACTGATAGGTAGCAGTACTGCCCACTGCAGTGGAGCTCATGTTGAATATCATGGTATCCGTAGAATTCAGTGTTGGACAGTCAACTATAAAGTGCAAATAAGGACAACACTATTCGAACTAAAACTTACTTGGCAGAGTTATCTTAATATCGACAGTGGAGATCATAGTAGCGGTGGAGCGAGGGAGAGTAGCTACACAGGTGTATATCCCAGTCATATTCCTGGTGGTAGTCACTATATCAAGTTCCCCACTCTCACTGACCATCTTCCCATCAGGAGAGATCCATTGTAAAGTTGGTTGAGGATCTGAGTTTGACCCATCACACAATAGATGTAGTGGACGTCCTTCAGTAACCGCTGTTTCCCCCATAATGGATGGGGGGTTGAAAACTGGTAGAGACAATTTAGTGATAGTGATACCAACTAAAATCTACCGCAGTTACATACCCTTAAAGAGCAAAACTCCTACTTTTGCCATGAAATAGGTCACATTGCAAAAACGTTTCTCACAGCATTGTATGTTTGTGTCCCAGAATGTACTGAACACACTGCCACTGTCATTCACTACCAGTGTATCTGAATAATTATGTGGAAAATTCTTCACCACTCTTCCCAGGGTGCTGTTGGAAGTAACAACTGTGTTATTCACCCTGAACACCACCTCATTAATGAGACCCAAAACTTGTGTGTAGTCACATTCGAAGCATACTGTATCCAGGGAGGCATTAACATAGATGATGGTGTTATTGACACTGGTAAGGTTCACAGTTGTCCCACAATCCTCAGGTCCTGGCTCAGACGAGTACACTGTATATAGAAAGATTCAAACCAAGCACGTTGTGAGCATAAATACTCTGTAGACTTACCACAGCTCCACCAGAGCCAACAAATTAAAAAGTAAGTGGAGAACATTTCGCATGAAGAACGCTTCATTCTGCCACTGTGTGCTAGACGGGTAGGCAAAAATGTAGAGCGCATGCGCAATTTCTCAACACCGGTCATATTCCTGGTGGTAGTCACTATATCAAGTTCCCCACTCTCACTGACTATCTTCCCATCAGGAGAGATCCATTGTAAAGTTGGTTGAGGGTGGTATCACTATCACTAATTTCTCCATCCCTATATCTTTGTTTGATATTGTTTGATATTAAACTTTGCTTATAAACAATAAAACAAAGATATAGGGATGGTGTCATGTAGCTTTGTGCAACTTTGCTGTGTAATGACCCCTTGTTTCTTCCTTTTTGGTGCTTCAAGCCATCCCTATATCCCCCTTTCATTTTGAAGAAATGATTTTTCCACTTGTTTCCACTATTTTTAACAGCTTCTGGCAACACTACATTTATTGTTACAGTCACTCTGATGTTCATGGCTATGTTGTAGATAGGCTACCATAGACAAATTGAAAGTAGTAGCTAATGGACTGCTAGATACCATGTATTGTCTTCAACAAGGATGTAATTAGATTATTGTACATGGTTGTGGTTTCATTGGCAGGCTTTGGTAATCAGGCTACAACCTGGGGGGGACAAACAATGAAGGCCCATTTGACTGAGTGCCCCGCAAGGTTCGCGTAACACCGCGCAGACTCTGGCAAGTTGCTCTTCGTGCATATCAACAGCAAGATAGCCAGTTGGAAATGTGCACACTTACTTACCGAAGGTACTGGAGGCTGACAGTTCCTCTGCAGGTCTGCCAACTCGCCCGGTAGAATACGTTCGCAAGCACGTTGGACAACGCCCCTGCCTGGCGCATGCGCGCGGATAACTGATGCTGAGTAAGCAGCAAATGGCGTTGTTCAGGTCGACCAGGGAAGAGCTCCATGATCTACCGTAGTGACTAGCGGCAAGAAAGAAACGATCGCTTGATGTCCGTGCACACCTCCGGCGAAATTGGAGACCTTCAGTGAAAAAATCAGTGCTTGAACTGGTACTGGTAAGGAGATAGCGGGTTTAAAGAAGAAGAAGAAGAAGAAGAAGATGAAGAATAATGATGACACGAAAATCGTGAAATCGCGTATGAGCGAATTCTCGCGTGGACGACTGAAGGTGCGTATGAGCTCTTGGGGGACATGTATAGGTAGATATGGGCCCGTAGACTATTGCTAGTATGTTTTGAAGGCCTAGGAAGTGATTCTAACCGAGTTTTTAGTCGTTTTGTACGCGGATCACGTGAGATTTCACCCGTGTCATCCCTATATAGAGAGTCTACCGACTCTCTAATACACGTAAAATCATTCAACCAGGCATAGCTATAGCTTAGCTACCTAGCTATGAACCTACCACAGCTCCACCAGATCCAGCATATCAACACAGTGTAACGAATCTTAATCAAGAAGGAACATACCACATGGCGCTTCATTGCCCTTCATGCGCCACCACTGATTGCAGAGCGGCGAAAATTGTTATTTGCGCATGCGCATTATGCTGACTGCGCATCATGGGCTCATGGGCGTAGCGCACCACACGCCACTCGCACAGTTTCTACCCCAAATTATGCTTATGCTAATAACTTCCTATTGTGCTTGAAATTATGCCAGCATAATGTGCGCGAGCCTAATCATGGCCCCATGGGCGCAGATAATAGAGGGTGAATGTCAAAAACTCGCATATATTATGCACACAGCATCTAAGTAAGACTATGTAAAAGTTCTTGCAGGTAACGGTGGAGGAAGTTGTTCATCATCATCAGCTCCACGAGGGGGAAGTGGAGGAGTTGGAGTTAATTCTCTGATCATCAGAGACTCTGGCAGGTCATTGCTCACTTTAATTGGCAGTGAACCTTTCATAAAACAACATGTAGTAGATCATAAAGATTAACATGGATTACAGCAAATTAGAAACAGTGTGAATGAGTGTAGTTAGCTGGTATACCTGAGACATAGACCTGTCTGAGGGAGTGAGCCAGGTCATGGTGACCAATGCTGTCCACCACATTAGCTATCTCCCTCCACGTGGGCTTGTTGGGGTGGAGGTTGGCCAGCCATCCATCCACCACTTCCACCATTGCCTCACTCTCACTACCCACCTAGACGGAGAGTGATCACAATAAGATAATACATTATTCCCATGGTTGACATACATATTCAGAGATTTCGTCCAGCCTCTGTACACCAACTGCCTCTCCCAGTCTCCTCCAGTGAGGAGTGACTTCTCTCAACTGAATGAGGATCTGGTCCAGACTCACCTTTGAATCTGCAGAAAGTGATACACACTATACATAACCGTCTTTCACAACTTTTGCCACTACTATATACTTGGTTTTAGTGTGCTGTCACTAAAAACCTTTAAAGAATTGAATTGCAAATGGATTTTTGCACGTATATTATACCAGCAAGTATGGCTTTAAGAAGGTAGAAAGAATATACTCAGAGTAGTATAAAAGGTATACCCTTACAGACCCCCAAAGGTGACAGCACACTTCTGAAGAGTACTACAATAGGCCCTTTGATATTATACAAGTGGAAAAATCATTTCTTCAAAATGAAAGGGGGATATAGGGATGGCTTGAAGCACCAAAAAGGAACAAACAAGGGGTCATTACACGGCAAAGTTGCACAAAGCTACATGACACCATCCCTATATCTTTGTTT